TGGTGGTGGTGGTGGTGGTGGTGGTGGTGGTGAGGTGCCTCCAGTTGATTCCACTCATGGTGACCCGACTCACAACAGGATGACACACTGACCTCTCCTGTACCCTTCCCACAGTCCTTGCTCTGTTTGGGCCCATTGTGGACGGCCACTGTGTCCATCCATGTTGTTGATAGTCTGCCTCTTTTCCTGGACCCTCTGTTTTACCCAGCATGAAGTCCTTCTCTGGGGACTGGTCTCTCCTGAGAACATGTTCAGAGTATGTAAAAGGAAGTCTTCACCATCCGATCTTCGAAGGACAATTCTGGCTTTCCTTCTTCCAAGACGGACGTGGCCCGTCTTCTGGGAGTCCCTGGCGTATTCAACAGTTGTCGCCGATATCGTCATTCCTATGCATCGGTTCTTGAGTCTTTCTGAATCAGTGTCCAGCTTCCCCATGTGTGTGAGAGGATCGACAACACGGTGGCGGGGTGAGGTGCCCCTGAGTCCTCAGACAGCTTTGTCTTTTAATACTTTAGAGAGCCCTTTTGCAGCGGATGCTCCCAGTGAGATACGTTGCTTCCATGGATGTCGATGGTGGATCCAAGGAAGATAAGATACTCAGCTCCAATCATTGCTCCCCTGACCACGGAGCTGCTTGCTGGCCTGAGAGTGAGGACGCCCATGTTCTCTATGTTGAGGTGTGGGCTATGTGGAAGGCTGTGTGTGTCTTTGGTCTTCACTAGTCCAGTGCTTGCAGTCCTCTTCGCGGTCAGCAAGGTCGGGTCATCCACACCCCACATCTGATTCACCAGGCTGCTCCTCCTGATGCCAAGCTCTGCACGTCGCCCAGCGTCTCGGATGGTTTGCTCAGCATATACATGGAATAAGAGGGTGAACAAATATGGCCTTGACACATACCTTTCCTGATTTTAAACTCACAGCATGCCCTGTTCTATTAAAACCATTGCCTCTAATAGTGTACACACAAGAGTACAACCAAACGTTTTAGAATTCCCATTCAACACCATGTTATCCCCAATTTGTTATATGATCCATATACTTGAATGCCTTCACATAGTCCGCAAAACACGGGTAGACATCATTCTGGTAGTCTCTGCGTTCCGCCAAGATCCATCCGGCATCAGCAATGATATCCTTGCTGCACACCCTCCTCTGACTCGGGCTTGAATTTGTAGCAGTTCTCTGTCAAAGTCCTGCTGCCCCCACTCTTTGGCTTGATCTTTACTAAAATTTTACTTACATGTGGCACGAATGATATTGTTCAAGAATTCCTTTATCCTGTTGGCTCGCCTTTCTTTGGAATGGGCACAACTATGGAAATTTCCCAGTTGGTTGGCCAGGTAGCTGTTTTCCAAATTTCTTGACATAGATGAGCAAGCGCTTCCCGCATCGTAGCTGTTTGTTGCAACATCTCAATGTGTTACGTCAGTTCCTGGAGCCGTCTTTTCCACCAGTGCCTGTAGTGGGACTTGGATTCCTTCTTTCACTACCAGCAGTTTGAGATCATACGCTACCTCCTGAAAGGGTTGAACCAACATCAACCAATTCTTTGTTGACATATGTAATTAAAAGTATCCACCACACACCGGCCACTTGTGTTGCAGTGAGGCTGAGAACTATACCAGCAGTATTTGAAGTATCTCCCCGGGTCGCAGCTAGTGGACAGGTTTCAACTGAGCTTCCAGACTAAGCCAAACCATGGGGAAGGAAGAGGCAGTCTTGTTTGTCTTGTGTTTCTCTGTATATGAAATCCAGGAGAGGTTACATTTATAGAGACTGGTTAATGGTTCCATGGGGGGAGGGGTGGGGATGGGGAGCTAGTGACGATGAGTTCAAGAAAGAAAATGTTCAAACACTGATTGCGAGGGTGATTGTACAACTCTTCTTGATGTGATTGAACTGTAGAATTGTATGATGTGTGAATCATATGCCAATACGACTGTCGGACAGTGGACAGATAGAACGCATCTATCTGTTTTAGTCATATTAGTCATACAAACAGTTCTTTATATTAAGAAAATAAAAGGATGGATGGGAATGACCAAGGGCAGACAGCCTACAGGTGGCCTTTCTAATTGGTTGGTTCCTGGTTGGTAAGTAATAGGATGAACCAGGTGGAAGTACCATTTTCATGTTCCCAAATGATTGATAGCCCTCCGTTTCATCTAGTGCAAGTGGGTGTTTTGACTGTGAACCCTGAGTTACAGGAAGTATTTCGGAACTGAAAACATGCCAGCACCTGGGAGCTACCTTCTTGCCTCCAAGGAACTTGCTGGGAAGAATGTTGAGAAGTCTGGCTCCCACAGGGTCTCTGACTGTCTGTCTCTCCAACGCCTGCAGGCGCTGAGCCTTCACCAGCTGGGCCGATACAGCCTGGCAGAGAAGATCCTACGGGACGCGGTCCAGGTGAACTCGACGGCCCACGAGGTCTGGAACGGGCTGGGCGAGGTCCTCCAGGCTCAGGGTAACAACACTGCGGCCACGGAGTGTTTCCTGACGGCCCTAGAGCTGGAGGCCAGCAGCCCCGCCGTGCCCTTCACCATCATCCCCCGGGTGCTCTGAGCCCAGCTCGGGGTGCCAGGGATGTCCAGCTGCCCCCAGGGGTGACTGCCCCCCCGGGGGTGACTTGAGGGGCCACCGCTGTGGCCAGAGCCAAAGGTTCCGATCGATCGCCCACAAGGAACTAAGCACTAAGCAACCCAACCCCCAGGCAATCAGCGCTCGCTCCACGTGCATCTCTGCGTGTAGAATCTCAGCCCCGTGATAGTTCAAACCGACTGGCGTGATTCAGATCGGATCAGGTACCATATTTTGTTAGCAGAGTTTTCAGTAAAATGATCATGGAATTAATCAGCAACTGTAGAAGACTATGTTCAAAGTTAACATGCAGCGGCAGAACAGATTATTTTTATCAAGAGCTGTAAAGAGAACTTCTCCCCATCGCGGCTGCCCCGCCCCCTGGCCCAGAAACCAATGTGAATCTTCATCTCCCACCTCGGTCAGTACCTGTCCGGACCAGGACGCCAGCTGACAATTTCTTAGTTTTGTTGTTATCAACAATTGTACCCTGTGATGAATCCCCGCCCTCACTTAGAACAAAGTCCAAGAATATTTATATTTTGCCAATATATGCCTGTTACCAGAGAAGGAACTATGAGTTATTTAAGTTTAACTTTTTTATGTGAATCCAGAGTTTATTTATCAATGGAAATATGTACAAAGAAGCTTCAAATGGAATATTTACCGACATTCCTTATACATGACAGACACTTGGCTAAATGGGAAGATGATGTTAATAATAAAATGATTTTTAAATGGACCCCTGGCTTGTGTCATTTGGGAAGGTCCACGGAGTTGAGCATCTGGGGTGGGGTGGGGGTGGGGGGGTGCTGTCTGTGTCCCGGTTCTGGGACACTAGGCCAGCCCAGCAGAGTGGGGAGAGTGAGTCCGATCCCAGCCTTGGGGGAATCCATGGGCTTGGCCCGATTCCCATGTTCCCCACCCAGCGAGCCCAAAAGCATCTCTCTGCTCAAGGTGAACATGTATGTCCTGGGACCCCTGCACTCAGGCCTCACATTTGCAGTGACAGCCCTTGGTACGCTTTGGGGGTTCACATTTCCACCCTGGCTCTCCGCTCTGGTAGCGAGTTACAGTTTCAGAAATCGCTGAGTCAGAATTGGCTCCCGCAGTGCGTTAGGTATTAGCTTCCTCCCTCCCCAGGATGTTCGGATCGGAGCCTCTGGCCTGGCCAATCAGCATGCAGCATTCCTGCCGGCAAAGGAGGGGGGGGGCAGGAGTGGTCATGTGACCCGGGCTAGACCAATTGGGTGGGAGCTGCCGAAGGAAGCTCAGCCACTATCTGTCCCCCAGGAAGGCAGGTGCAGTGCTGTGGGGGGCCAGGTGTGAACAGAGAGGACAGCAAGACTAAGCCCCCGGGGCCTAGGGAGAAACTGAGGGCCCCCACAAGCCTCAGGACCGCCCTGGGGCAGCCAGAATTCTGATCAAGGAGCCCTGAGGGCGCAGTGGTTAAGTGTGCCACTGCTAACTGAAAGATGGCCTAGTATGAAGCCCCCGCTACCCCAGGGGAGAAAGATGGGGCCGTCTGCCTTCTGTAAAGCTTGGAGACCACAGAAGGCAATTGCACTCAGTCCCTACAGGGTCGCTGGGAATCAAAATCCACTTGAGAGTACCGTGGGAGTGTGTATGTGGGGGGGGCGGGGGTGAATGCTGGGCACCCTAAAATCTGGAGATGCCCACACACTCTAGGAGGGACAGCGGCGGGAGCCTGCTGTGGCTGAGCAGGGAGGCACCCGCCTGTTCAGTACCAGCCCTCCAAGGCTGTATTTTGAGGTAGGATGTCTCTAAGTCATGGAATCGGCAAGGCAAGATCTTGCCAGAAAAGGGTAGGGCCCTCTCTGTGGCTGGCAGTGGGGGCAGCTTCCTCAGCCAGGGGTCAGGACCCAGCCCTGCCATCCTGGAGGAGTGAGGACTGGAAAGGTAAGGGGCAGTGACAATAGTCCAGCCAGGGTACCAGCCACAGCATCCAGGCTCAGCTCAACGCCACGCCTGACTGTGGGAAGACCTTTCGATGGTGCTAGGTGATCATTCCTGGTCATCCCCCAGCCCTGGGAATGCCAGCCCCTCCCAATTCTCCATTCCCATGGCTTCAGCAGCACTGACCTCCCTGGCGCCCCCCACCATGGACACTCAACCCCAGCTTGGCCAGAGTCCTGTAGCCCACCCACCCCCACTTCAGTGATGTGGGGAGGTTTGAGTGTGTGCAAACCCTAGGACTTGGTTAAGGGAATACTAGAAAGAAATGTATGGGCTATGGAGTGCCCCACAGGGATGCCAGTCTGGGCCTGGGTGCCATCTGCCTGAGAATGATGCCAACTCCGGGGAAAGGGCAGTGAGGAGAAGAGGGAGAGACTCCTGAGTCACCCTTTGAACCCTGGAACTTGGGACGTTTCCATCTCCTGAACTGATGAACTTAGAGCAAGGAGCAGAGTGGGTTTCATTGGCTCACCCCCGGAGGGTGCAGTGAAGTCAGGTGGACCCCTTTGGTCCCCAAGTGGAACCCTTCCTAAGCAACTCGGTCTTCCTCTGACACCACCACCCACACTCAGCCTTTCCACACATTGTGTCCTTTCTCCTCAAAGTCACACCGCATCTCTCCCCACCTTGTTTCCAGCTGGGCCATCTCTTGCTTGATGAGGGCAGTGTCCTCTCGGCTTCTGTCCTTGCCTCCTTCGGTCCACTCTGCATAGCTCAGGAAGTGGCCGGTGGCCAGCAACACCTACTCAGGGCAACTCCAGGTGGGTCTGAGTAGAGCTGTGATTCACCGGGTTGTCAGTCAGGAGCTGGTTGTTTTGGAAGCAAGCACCTGTCCCCTGACCCTGTCCGCTGCAGTGCCTCAGGCTGGACTCAAAATCCCAACCTTTGGGTTTGCAGCTGAGTGCGTTTGTACCGTGCAGAGACTCCACCAGAAATGTGCTGCCTTAGACAACACAGCGTTCTTGCTCTTGGCCAGCGTGGGAGGTCCCGGATCTAGAAGCCAGGTATTGGCAGAGCTATAGTTCTTCTCGGGGGCCCAGCAGAGAGTCTTACATCGCCTTGTCTGTCCTCGTTCCTTGGGCCACCGCCTCACAACACACCTTTTCTCCCTCTGACCAGTTCTCCTTCCTCTTGAGGACCCAGGGATTGCACTGAGCCCACCCGGTTACCTGGGACCATCTCCCCATCACAGGATTCTTAACTGAATCCCATCGTGAAACTCTAACCCTTCTGTTCTGATAGCAGCTGCACCTACACCTCTTCCTCTCCTGAACCTTCCTGAACTGAACCTGAACCAGTTAAAGGGCATGGTTGTGAGACTGCCAAGTTGACACAAGACTACAGTCAACAGCCAGAAGTTGGGGACACCCTCAACTTCTGACCTGCTGACCTCACATTCAAGAGTACCCCCCTCCTTGGGGTAACATCCATAAGCTCCAGGATCCCCAAGGATCCCTACTTCTGACCTTCTGGTTCCCACCACCCACTCAGATTCAACAAATCACTAGGATGACTCATGGGATACATAGAGAACTCTACGTCTGTTTATAACGAAAAGGATGTGAATGAAGAGTGCCCTAGGGCAAGGTCTCGGTGGGTTCCCAACCCTGAACTTCTGTGTCTCAGAGGGACGTCCGGCCCTCCCTGTGCATCAGTGTCTTTCACCAACCAGGGAGGCCAGGGAGCCTCTGTCACTGGGGCCTCATCACGTCGTTCAATGTAGCCAAGTTCCTCCTCTGAGGTGGTCAACGTCACCAGTTGATATCACCCAGGGGTCTTTCAGGCCTAGGGCACGTCTTATTAGCATAACCTATTCAGTTAGGCGTCCTCAGCAAAGACACTTTGATCACTGGAGTAATTCCAAGGACTTCCGATTGAAGTCCTCTTAAGCCCCGGAGACACAGGCTCATTCTCTGAACAGCCTACAAGCCACCCCAAGACCTTTGATTGTGTGACGTTCATTGTTAGGCGACACCGCGTCTGTTCTAACCCATGGCGATCCTCTGCACAACAGAGCGAAGGCAACACTGCCCGGTCCTGCGCCATCCTCGCCCTTGCTCCTCTGCTCACACCCATCGTGGCAGCCCCTGTGGCAGGCCACCTCGTCCAGGACCTTCCTCTGCTTCCCTGCTGCCCGGCTACCAAGCATGACGTCATCCTCTAGGGACTGGTCTCTTCTGACGACAGGTCCAAAGCATGAAAGACAGCATGCTGCCATCCTTGCCTCTAATAAGCATTCTGGTCATACTTCTTCCAAGGCAGATAGGCTTGTTTTTTTGGCACTCCATGATACTTTCCATATTCTTCACCAACACATGGATTCAAACCCATTGATTTTTCTTCCCTCTTCCTTATTCAGTGTCCAACTTTCACACTGTGTTCGTCCGAGTAGACTGGAGAAACAAATTCATAGACACTCATGTGTATAAGAAAGAGTTTATATATGAGAGCAATTGAATATTGGGAAGACATCCCAGCCCAGTCCAGATCAAGTCCATAAGTCCGATATTAGCCCATATGTCTGATACCAATCTATAAATTCCTCTTCAGACTCACGAAACACATGCAATGATGCCGAATGCAGGAAAATCAGAGGTCAGTGGGTGGGAAATCTTGTGGATCCAGTGGCGGTAGAGGCTTCTCAGCACTGACAGGGGTCTCTACGTGGCTCCTTCAGCTCCAAGGTTCTAGCATAGCTCCTTGGGTCTTGTCAGCAAGCATGTCTCCACAGGGAGTGAGCATGTGTCCCACCTCCAGAGAGCTATTTATCTCCTTAGTGCCTCCAAATAAGGTCATCAAGCTGTAACCTGATATAAGCTAAACTCCACTCCTTCACTCTTAAGTCTCAAATTGACAACAGATTATGTAACTACCACACACATGCATCTGAGGTAATTGAAAATATCATGGCTTGGACCAGGTGCACCTTAGTCCTCAAAGTAACATCCTTGCTTTCCAACACTTTAAAGAGATCTTGTGCAGCAGATTTACCTAATGCAACTTGTCTTTTGATCTCTTGACACTTACTTCCATGCACATTGATTGTGGATCCAAGCCAGATGGAGTCCCTGACAACTTCTCTCTCTTCTCCATTTATTGTGATGTTACCTATTGGTCCAGTTGTAAAGATTTGGGTCTTTTTTACATGGTGTTACAATCCATCCTGAAGGCTACAAGCCTTGAACTTCACCAGTGTTTCAAGTCCTCATCATTTTCAGCAAGCAAGGTTGTGCCATTTGTGCATCACCGGTCAGTAATAATCCTGACGCCACATTCTCTGATGATTTGCACAGCACACACATTGAATAAGTGTGGTGACCTGATACACCCCTGATGTACACACACCTTTCCTGACGTAAAACCATGCACCATGCCTTGTTCTGATTGCACCACTGCCTCTTGATCTAGGTACAGGTTCCGCATGAGCACTATGTTCTGGAATTCCCACTCTTCTCAAGCAATCCGTTGTTTGTTATGTTAATAAAATAAAACACAAGTAATTCTCTCTCTGGTATTCTCTGCTTTCAGTCAAGATGAATCTGAGGTCCGCAATGACATCCCTTGTTCCACCTCGTTTTCTGAACCCAGCCTGAAACTCTGGCAGCTCCCTGTCAATGTGTACTGTTGCAATGGTTACTCGATGATCTGCAGCAAAATTGTACTTGCGTGTGGTAACAATGATGTTGTTCTATAATTTGAGCATTCTGTTGGGTAGCCTTTCTTTTGGAGTGGGTACCCCCCCAAAAAAAGTAAAAGTAAGTTTCT